AACATACATGAACATATACGAGTAAGAAAATGTTGTTGGGAGTTGTCCACACCACTAATGTTGTCGGTATTGGAGAAGTGGAATAGTGTCCACCTCTGAAAAGACTTTAATCTTGAAGGATGTCATGTATACTTCAAAGATTATAAATAATCTTGTTTCTGGTTTTCTTCTAAATAAGGTAGGGTTTAGTTAGTCTATTGGGGTAGATTTGTACATAATCACTAAAAATGATATTTTGTGAGATTGACATGTTTAAGATGTATGTAAATGAAATTAAAATTCAATTTAGTAACATGATTAAGATACTTCATAGTGATAGGGGAACTAAATATTGTTTCAGTTTATTTAATGATTTTTATATTTAACATGAAATGATTGCTTCCTATTCTCCTGAAATGAATGGTAAAGCAGAAAGAAAATAAAACTCTTACTGAACTTGTTGCAATTATGATGAATTCTGGTGTTGCACCTCACTAGTGGGGGGGAGGGGGGAGGGGATTTTATTGATTGTTTGCTATGTCCTGAATAGAATTTCCAAGTCAAAAAGTAAGGTCTCGCTTTTGAGATATTAAAGAAAAGACAACTAAACTTGTCTTATTTGAGAACTTGGGGTTGTCTGACTTATGTCAGAATTTCGGATCCGAAACGAGTTAAACTCGCTAATAAAGCCTATGAATGTGTATTTATTGAGTATGCAGCAAACAGTAAGGCATATAGGTTTTATAACCTAAATGTAAAAGTGATCATAGAATCAAATGATGCTGAATTCTATGAAGACAAATTTTCTTTCAAGTCGAGAAATAGTGGGGGCACTCAATCGAGTCACATTCCTGTGATAAGAAGCACAAAAAGTAATGACAATTTAGAAACAAAACTTAGATGAAGTAAAATATTAAGAGTTTCTAAAGAATATGAGCCCGATTATGCGGCTTATAATTTAGAAGAAGATACAATAAATCTTCAAGAAGCCTTGTCATCTCTGGATGCAGATTTATGGTAAGAAGTTATTAATGATGAGATAGAATCTCTGGAAGCTAACAAAACCTAGAACTTAGTAGACTTACCTCCTGGTTGCAAACCAATCGGTTGTAAATAGGTTTTTTGAAAGAAAAAAAACTAAAACTTGATGAAACTATTGATAAATACAAGGCTCGCTTTGTAGCCAAGGGTTTTAGACAAAGAGAAAAATATAGATTTCTCTGACATTTTTCGAGTCACTAGAATTACATTCATTAGGGTACTTATTTTGATAGCTTCTATTTAGAACTTAATAGTACACCAAATGGATGTTAAAACAAAGTTTTTAAATGGTTACTTAGAAGAAGAAACCTATATGGAACAACCGGATGGGTTTGTAATCCAGACAAGAAAACAAGGTTTGTAAGTTAGATAAGTCTTTGTATGGTCTAAAACAAGATCTAAAGCAATGGCATGATAAGTTTGATAAGTTAATGATATCGAATGAGTACAAAGTGAATGAAAGTGACAAATGCGTTTATTACAAATCTGAGAATCACATTTGCACTACCATATATCTCTATATAGATTACTCATATATGGATCAAACATTCAGACTGTTAATGAACTTTGATATGAAAGGCCTCGAAGAAGTGAATGTGATTCTTTGTATCAAGATCACGATATCTAGGCAAGGAATTTCTTTGGATCAATCACACTATGTGGAAAAGTTCTTAAAGAAATATAATTACTTTGACTGTAAACCTGCGTGCACACCATATGATCCAATTGTAAAACTGTTTAAGAACACTGGTGAAAGTGTCAGACAGACAGAATATGTGAGCATCATTAGAAGTCTTAGGTATGCCACTGGTTGTACTAGACTCGGCATTGTGTATGTCGTAGGATTATTGTGCGGCTTTATGAGTAGACCGAGTAACGAGCACTGGCAAGCTATTGAGCGAGTCATGAGGTACCTTAAATGGACCATGGATCTCGGCCTACATTATCAGAAATTTCTTGTTGTATTAGAAGGGTACAGTGATGGAGATTAGAACACGTTATCGGATGATTCCAAGACTACTAGTGGCTATATATTTAGTATAAATGGAGGAGTTGTATCTTGGAAATTAAAGAAACAGATTATCCTGGCTCAGCACAATGGAGTCTGAGATTATAGCATTAGGCACAGCTAGTGAAGAAGAAAGTTGGTTAAGATGCTTGCTAGCAGAGATCCCTCTGTGGGAAAAACCTATGCCAGCTGTGTTGATCCACTGCGATAGTACCGCGGTTGTTGCAAAAATTGAGAACCGTTATTATAATGGTAAAAGACGTCAAATTAGAAGAAAGCACAGCACTGTTAGAGATTGTATCTCTAAAGGAGCTGTAAGAGTGGATCACTTACGCACTAATGAAAACTTAGTAGATCCTTTGACGAAAGGATTAGCTAGAGAGAAAGTCCATAATACATCCAAGAATATGGGACTAATGCCTCTAAAGGAATGAGTTGCTCATGATGGTAACCCGACCTAGATGATTGGAGATCCCAAGAAATAGGTTCAATGGGTAATAACAAGTTGTGAGCAATATGAGATGAGCATGCAAGTGAAGCATGAATCCTGAAGTAATAAGAGGATGAGATAATAGAAACTCTTAATGAGATCTATACTCTGTATGAGGGAGTACCTAGACTACATGAGTACTCTTGATAGACTCACCTATGTGATTGTGGAACTTAGGCCGGTTCCTATGAAAGTTTGAGGAAGAATTCCCAGAGCCTTCACTAAATCGGGATACACTTGTAGGGTCATTAAAGCACGAGCTATTAGAATACACCTTAAGAAAAGGTTGTGTGCGGGTTTGATGTCTGAGATAGAGTTCAAGACAATGGTGTCACTCTTGTTGAGTTAGAATCATACCTGTTACGCAGAGGTTCAAGTCATAGACACATTTTCTTATGCACAACCTTAAAAACGTTTGATGTTACTTCTGAAACACTTTTTTAAATTCAAGTGGGAGATTGTTGGAACATTATTTCAATAGTCAAATATAGGGAGATGAATTTGAAAAAGCTCATTAAGTCAAGTCTCACTTAGTGTGTTAGTTGAGAAACCTCATTAGTCTCACATTGCTTAGTTGAGATATATTTCCTCACTCACTTCATTATTATAGGAAATTTTCTATTTCATTCCAAAATACACCGAAAACTTATTTTGAGTTTTTTCCTTCCTCACTCTCATAACTCTACGTCTTTCGAATTGTAGAAGCGCCAACTTCTTCCCCTTTCTTTCTACTCGTTGAATTTTTCGAGTATTTTCTTGAATTCTCTTTAGAGAATTATGTTAATTTCTCCTCATTTGAGTTGAGAAATTATCAAGTATAATTTTTGGATTCTCTTTAGAAAATTATTCGAATTTCTCTTTATTTGAGAAATCATCTTGAGTGGTCAAATAACCATTATTAAATTCTCTTTGGAGAGTTACTAAAATTTCTCTTGGTTTGAGAAATTATTGCGACTGGTTATTATATCGGATACTACGAGCGGTATTAACCATATTCGAATGGTCTTTGTACCATCAAAGGTTGTATTTTTAGACCGATTATCTATCATGCAAGTAGTAATCGTACAGTATAGAACTGAACTGTTTTACCCTGGAGGTGGCGCGGTAGTTCAACTGTTTTGCATAATTTTAGACAGTGTCACAAAACGTTTTAAAGAGAGCGACCTAGTTCGCAACTCGACTCGATAATTTCTTTTGTGACTTATTTTCAAAACTGTGAAACAACATTTTGACATTGAACATGCCTTAAATCTAAATTGCTGATACTACATAGGTTACTACGTAGGTTATTAACATTAAGAAGTTATGGTCAATTTAATTCATATTACCTTTTATTGTTTCCTTCTATTTTAATATCTGCAGTGCTACATGTGAGAGGAAGCTGATCATTTATCAATGATGTAATGAGTGGTATTGTTTTTGTTTTTTTTTTAATTTAAAAACGAGAAGTGAATATAAAAACAAAGGCCAGTAAACTCAATGTTCATGTTTGATCTAACATATGGTCTCAGATTATTGGGGCGCAATACGAATGTAACACTAACATTTTACATTGAACGTATGTCTAATATTGTGAATTGATATAGTTAAAAACAAATTAAAATAGAGAATTGATTAAAATTGTTGTATTTTCTCAATAAAAATTTAATAATTACAAGTGAATACTAACAATTAATCTTTTTCACTCTAATTAGAATTTGTACCACATCTCATAGATGAGTCTCACATATTATTTATAAGAAAACTAACATATTAACCTAACACATACTCATTACACAAGCTAACTTAAGAAACGAGATAAGTTAAACAATTGAGTTTACAAGGAAAGTCTAATTCGGCATACTAACTTAAATTACACGTTAATATATTTCGACAGCTGTTTGATCAGACTTCGACTACAACATGCACAAATCCGATTGAAATATCAAGTTATCCTTATCCACGCTAGAGTTCGATTCAAAAATACCACAATAATAGTCTCAAAGAGATATGCACTGGACATTATATGTTCGTGTGATCGTTGCAGTTTTGTGACTTAATTCATTTAAGTTATGTACACATGATATTGAGGTTATCTCTTTTCACAATGTTGATTTTTACTGACAGCCTAAATATATTTGCAAATGTACAGCATAAACATTAAAGGTTTGATGGTTTAAAAAAGAAATACAAGATTAACACGAATGTATAACATAAACTGTGTACATGGTATTAACACGAATTCATATTTTATTTCGTTTATAGCAGATTTTCTAGATTGTAATTGATTAAGATGGTAATCCATATATAATTCTGATATATTTCTTTTCAGACAAGATATATATTTATATACTAATTTATTATTTGATGCAGTTTTAAGCTTAGTTCATCTCATACATAATAATTATGCACTTTTTAGTACTAATATTGGTTTTTTTTTTATTCCTTTGGATTTATGTTGGCATCTTCCACATTCTCCCTTTTCAAGTAACTTCATTTGCTTCATCTTGTACATGATGATCCATTCTGCACAAAATTCAAGCATATAATCACTACAAACAATTACAAGCATTAGATCAATATAGAGAGATAAATTTGATAGATGCAGATATTTAAATCTAATCTCTTTTTACAATAAACTATTTAGTTAGTTAGTCCTATGAAGTTTGAATTAAGATACGACGACTCACATTCTGACATTTAGTTTAGACCCGATATATCGAAATTTGAGCCAGGAATTCACTCCATGAAATAGGGTCATGCTTTGAAAGTTGAAACCAAAAATAAAAATTAATCTTACCTTACAAGCCTGCACATCATCACAGCCACACAACGATTTCCCATTTAACATATCCACAGCTTGAAATGACCCTCCTCCATCACTTCTCTGCATCATATTTCAAATGAAATTTGATGTCAAAATATATAGCCTACAATAAAACAATGCATGACAATGTAGAACATTGTACCTTGTAATAATCAACTGCAACAAAATTTGCCCAGCGATTACCGGACGCGAGATAACAACTAGAAAGCATATTTATGAGGTTTTGTGAATTATCTTTACAACTGGCTTGACGGATTGGAATTGTCCTAAAGTGATTTACTAGAACCAAAGATTTGTTTCTATCATTGAGTTCAGATGAATTCGCACGCTTAGAACATTGTCCACGCATTCCGTCTCTCCCATCTGCACTCGTGAACACGATATTTTAATCAGAAAGTTTTATGATCAATACCTGATGAAACATATTGATGTTGCTTACACTGATTTTCAACCATATAGTTCCACTGATAAGCTATTCCTTCACTTTGTTCCTTTTGCTTTTGCGAGCCAAACACAATGAGCCTATGATTTTTAGCAACCATGTCTTTCACTAAAGGCCAATCTTTTCCACCTTTCGGCATGTTTGAGACAGGAAACCGATATTTCATCAATCCAGACGCATTGAATACATTGGTTAATCCATTTGGTGCTTCAACGTAGTCTTCTAATATTAGTGTCACGATTTCTGATGGATTTGCGGATAGGAAAACTTCCACTTCCTTCAAAGCATTTATCGCAGGTTCCTGATACGGACAGTTGAATCAAGATTAAACCATCCATATATCAATTTTTTTGCGTGATTGCGTCAAATATTGATTTTTTCGTTTGTAAATTTTTGCTTATAAAAGAAAAACTATTATGAATGACTTACAAATGCGGTAAAATCTTGGCATTTTCCTTTAAAAGAATGGCACAACCATATATCTCCTTTGAAGTCATAAGTATCTAACATAAGAGCTCGAACTCCATTCTGCATAATTAAAAGTTCTTACATTACATCCGAGTCGATCAAAATTCAAGACTTCAAATAATCAACAAGCCTTAGTAATATCTAATATCTTACGGATAATTGTTGAGAGATAGTGTCTTCTTGATTTGTGAAAGTAACTTGAGGAACAGCATCTAGGATTGGTCTTTTATTAATTGCAAATGAATTATGGGTCGTTAGATATGCATATTTGTTGAACGGCAACGATGCATTCTGTGCAAATTAACAGAAATTCAATCAAAAAAACTAAAATAAATCATCATATCATAAAGTACCGTCTTTAAGGACCTACAAAACAGATTACAGAACATAGTCTTTAAGGTTTCACAAAAGCCCGTTCGTGATAACGTAACGTGATTGAGTTCATAAATACCAGTAGCTTGAATGGGTTTGTTGTTGTTGATCTGACACATCTTGACCCCTTGAGTTCAACATGGCAAGAGCTACAAATTTGACCAGTTGAACATTCTCTGGTGGACAAGCACCTTCCCAAGAGCTGAAAAAATGAAGAATTTGTTAAACAAAATATTGAAATTGAAATTTGTGAACAGAGATTGCAATGAGTTGATTGAGTAAGACACACACCTTGTGTTCTTCATAAGGAAAACCAATAGCAGCAGTTATAATACAGAGGAAGAGTGGAAAAATCACCAATGACAAACCCATTGGATAAACTAGACTTGAAAGAGTTAAAAGTGTTAAGTTTGTTTGAGGATGTTACGGTTATATAGGAAATTAAAATATAATTGAAGGCAGCTTTTAAGACATCAATTAAAGAAAAAGATTTTCCAATACTTGTTTTTTTTTTCTTCTATTCTTTTAACAAATTTACTTAATTTGAAGTAAAAAAAAACAATTGAGTAAAAAAGAAGATTTTATTAAATTTTCAATTAATATTTTTAGATTTTTTTTTCAAGTAATTTAGTGGAAAAAATTTAGCATTTAAATATAAACAAATGAAATGTCGTAAAATCAAACTCACGCTTCTACTGCAATGAAGTTATATCCACAACCATAAGCTGAAATTATATCCACAACCATAAGCTGAAATTATATCATTTTTCTTCAATTCACTGGTCAGTAAGGTATTTCTTCCGTTCTTTCTTAATTATTATTTTTTAATTTTTTATACATATAAAAAAAAGTTAATGATTATTATTACTTTTTAAAATATGAATTTTATTTTGTTCATAATATACTCTTAACTTTTTATTATTTTAATATATTTTTTCTTTTTATAATAAATAATTAAAAGTAATTTTAAAAAAGCGAAATATCCCTTTTCGTTTCTTAATTTTAACTCGGGATCCAGTTTGGTCCCTTAACTTTAAAAAGTGGCAAGTTGGTCCTCTAATTTTTAAAATGGTGTCAATTGAGTCCTCACCGTTAGTTGTCCCCAAACGTCCGTTCATTTTGTGTACGTGGCAGATGACTTGACAAGTTATCTTCTTCATGTTGTTTCTTTCTCCTTCCTCCTCCCATTCTCATACTGCAACTTGAATTTTTTTCGTTCCTTCCAAATCCCAAATCCCAAAATTAATCTAGGGTTTTTGTTTTTGGCAAGCATGAAGTTTGGTTGTTCGTCCTCCATGTTGAAACAGGAAAGTCGAGATTTGGATGTTTGTAGTAGGTCACGATGGAAGCCCATATGCCATTGTGGAGACATGGTTGTTCTTCAAAGGGCAACTACTGTTAAGAATATGGGAAAACTTTTCTGGGGTTGTCCAAATTATAAGGTATGCAGACTTTTTGAATTATGTTAATAAATTTTGTTTGTGTTTAAGTTTAAATTCATTCTCCATCGTTCTCTAAACAATGAAACTTACAAGGAGGTATGCAAGATGGTTGTTGTTTCTTTGGTTGGTTTTATGAGGAGGCGGGTGATGAGAATGAGCAATTCTGGATGCATAGGTTGGGTGTGGTAACTAAGGGACTTGCTGAAGCAAAAAAGGACATTGAAAAAGTGACAATGGAGAATGAAGAATTAGAGAAAAAGTTGATGAAACTTGAAAGGGAAATGAAGAATATCATAAAGTGGAAAAACATTTTGAACTTGATGTTTGTGATGATTATCATTGTATTAGTTGTTAGAATTAGTTAGAGTATTAAGGTTTGTTTGGAAGTAGTATGTTATGGTTTGTTTGTAAGAATTAAGTTAACTTTTGGTTGTAAAAATTAGGTTTAAGTTCAGTTAAAGTTTGTATCAATTTTGGATTGTATCAGTTCAACATGAATGTAATACTTGGATTCTAATCCTGCAGTGGATTTTAATTTTACTTTTTGCAGTTCAACATGAAAGTATCAGTTTTAGTTTTGGATTGTATCAGTTTTATGTTAACTTGGTCTGCATTGTTAAATATCATGTCAAAGTGTTTTTAACTTGATCTGCATTGTTAAAGATTATGTTATTTGGTCTGTTGAAGATTAGCTTGATTTTAACACACAATGATATATTTGGTGTGTTATGTTTTTATGTTTACCTGGTCTGTTATAGACCTGTCAAAGTGGTATGCGTTTTTTAGTCTGCATTTTTTACACCACGTTATGACAGGTCCATAAACATTATGACCTATAAGTTGGTTTTGCTTTTAACATAAAGTTCATAACAGATCCATAAATAGGTTCTGATTTTAACACAACTGATACATTTCATAACAGGTCCATTTCATAATACAAACTGATACACATGTTCCACAAAATACATAGTCATTCCACACATGTTTCAAACAACAGCAGAATACATAAACTTATAATACACATGTTTCAAACAACAGCAAAAAACATAAACTAATTATACAACAAAATACATAATGTGATTCCACATGACATGATAACCTAATTATATCTAGAGTTTCTTCTTTGGCGTGGTCCTCTTTGCTGGAGTAGACCTCCTTGTTACTGGGCCAACACCATTCTTGGCAGCACTAAACCTAGTTGTAGGCCCAGGTGGAACAAAAGGTCTTGTTGGTTCCTCCTCTTCTTAGGTCTACTAGACATCTTCCTGAACTTGGGTGGTTTCACAACTGGATATGTTGTCTTAACCCACAAGTTTAATCCATTAACAGGGTAGATCACATGCTTATAAATTGTCTTGTACCTTGAAACCCTATAATAATCTGAAATGTAAGTATCAATTTTGAAATCCCTACTCTTTATAGCAGACAAAGCATGAACACATGGGAGTCCTGTGAGTTTCCATCTTCTGCATGAACATATATGATCTTTCAGGTTCACAACAAATTTGTCAGCTTGATTTTCTAAGTGCCTTACTTCAAATATATGTTCATCAGACATCCTAAAGAATTAAACAAACAAAATATATGAGTCACGTGTTTGGACTGTATGTTATAGACATCCTAAAGAATTAATGTATGTTGATATTACATACCTTACTAGCCAGTTGTTGGTGTATGTGCTTGTGACATCAAGTTTCTTTCTAATATTGGGAAATATATCATTATCATCCAAAGTACCAAATCTCATTCTGTTATTTGTCCATCTCTCCATCATGTATATTCTGATGTCTTCCAACATAGTGATTAGAGGTTTTGCCCTTGCATCAAGAATGACACTATTAAAAGATTCAGACATGTTGTTGAGAACAGCATCACATTTGTTTTCAATCCTAAAGTAAGATCTACTCCAAAACCTTGGTGGGGTCTTCATCATATGTTTAAATACTTCTTCATTGGTGGCCCTCATTCCCTTCATCTCTCTTTCTCATGCCTGTGGGTATGTTGACTTGGCAGTCTTCCATATTATGTCCTTCAACATCTTTCCAGGAAACTTTTTCCTAAAATTGTTATAGAGGTGCCTAACACAAAACCTGTGCTCCACCCTTGGCAATAACTCATCCATAGTAGGTAGAAGGTCCTACAATAGCATAACGTACAATGCAGCATAACAATATAGCATAACATACAGTATAACATAACAGGAATAGCATAACAGAAACACATAAAACCATAAGAATAAATGTAAAACTTGCCTTTTGTTGGTCTGAGATGAAGGTGTAAGTCAGGCATTCATCTTTACCTCTAAGGTCATCAATTAACAACTCTAAAAACCAAGTCCAACTATCCTTGTTTTCACTCTCCACAACTACATATGCTATAGGAAGTATCTGGTCATTAGGATCCCTCCCAATGGCGGTCAGAATCTGCCCTCCACACAACCCCTTCAGAAAACACTCATCTAGACCTATTACATGCCTGCACAACTTAAAGTTTTCCTTACACGCAGCATAACATATGTAAAGCCTTCTAAAATATGGTCTTTCATCCTCAAAACCTTCTTGTACAGGCTCAACATTGAGCTTAATTGTTGACCCTAGATTGGCTCTTAACAGTTCATGACAGTAGTCATAGACCCTTGTGCAATCTCCCAGAAAAGAACCATCAACATAATCTCTAGCTGCAAATCTTGCTCTTATAGCTTTGGTTTTTTTGACCCCAACATTCCATTTTTTTTGTGCCTTCTCCTTAATATCTTTTATACTCAACCTTGGATTATTTTTTAAGCTATTTTGAATTCTTTTACTCAGCCACTTTTTACTCATCAGCTTCACATTATACTCTCTACTAAAATTGTGTTTGTCAATTACTTTCCTGAGTTTCCAAGTGTCTTCATTTGACAACTTGCTACAATAAGCCTCCCACTCACAACCAAGTTTACATCTAACCCTTACCCTAACTCTATCATTTTTTTTACAAATCTTAGGTCTCTACCATTTTGCACAGCATAAGTTGTTATTGCTTCCCTAAAATCACCCTTTGAACTAAAGTACATTCTCACATCCCACTTGTAATATCACATGTCTTTTGGTTGTCTGAAAATTGGATGTTTTTTTCTTAGAACTCCACTACTATCATCACTGTCACAACCACTTTGCATGTCCTCACTGTCATTGTCACTCCATTTATCTTCTAAAGACTTATCATTAGGTTCTTGGACTTCTCCATTACCATCAATTTCATGACCAATTAGGGTATCAAATGATAAATTATTTGATAAATGAAAAAGATAAAATTGAAATATTTTAAAAATTGCAAGGGTGAGGGGATACTTTTAGGGATATGGAGTAAAAATTTCATCCGATCAACATAAAAAATATTCAAAAAAGTTAAATATATTTATTAATAGTCTACAAGTCTTATTTTAACCAATAAATAACAATATTATTAGATTAAATATTATCACTCAAATTGTATATGAAAAATGCAACAACGCAAATTATACTGGCCAAAAAGTACAGGTGTGTGTGTGTGTGTTCCTCCTATAAGAGCAGCATAACTCATAGGCCTTAGTAGGTATATTACGTTGTATGGTGGTTAGGGTTTGTCGACGGCGGTGAGAAGCCCTATAGGATGGTGTTTTGCGGTAGTTTTAGGAGTTCTAATCACGTGAGGTGAGAGGTTATGCATATTAATGATATGTTTAGGTATAAGTGTATGAAGGGTATAATTAATATAGGTTATGATATGTCTTCCTCCTCTATGGGAGATGTATTTATAGAGGCCTTTTGGGCCTAGGGTTTGGGTAACCCTGAGTGGTGACAATCGCTCCCTTGTGATTAGGGGAAGTTATTGATCACATATCCTTCCGAGAGTAATTGTGGGCTACCTATCACTTGGATAACGGCTTTACACACATCATCAGTTCCCTAT